GGGAAGGCAGCTAGTCATCACCACCAACCCCCAACTCTTGGGCTACTCTTTCACCAACGAATAGTGAGATTGACTGTAACTTTATAACGTCCCAATGTAAAAATAATGCCAAGTAAATTCAACTGTAATGATAATAAAAATAATATATTTCTTCAGAAGCGTTTGTTACAGTCACGTTGACTTGTAGATCTAATTTCATAAATAAATTTTTCAACATAAACTCCGCAACTAAGTGTATGCTTAGCTTCAAATACAACGTTTCTGTATAAACTGCGAGACGTACGCCTAACTTATAAAATTTCCTCGTAAAACAAATCGATCGATAAACAACCCCAGTTCACCAAATAACTCATTAACCAACTGCTTAACTCACTAACTGACTGGCAATAAACTAACTTACCCATCACTAATTACTCATACTTATATCGTACCCTTGTTCTTACATATTACGAGCATCCTTTTCGATTGTTAACTTTTGTGAACTTTTCAGATCCTAAACGTCGTGCGCCCTCTAGCGAAATATTTAAAACGTGGTTGAATTGGGAAAGGAATGTCTGTGTGCTTTCCTCTTCTTATTTTCTGCTTACAAGTATCTCAGTTATTTGTCTTTCTCCGGAGTATACTTTTGTTTTGAATGGGGGATAAACAGATATAGGTATCAGTACTACTGTTTTAACGTATCATAAATTCAAACATGCAAAACTGAAGCTTTCAAACAGCCTCTTCTACTGCGTTGCTAAGCAACTAAATTAGCTATGGCGTCTTGCGCCAGCCGATTGGTGGAACAACAAAGGGTGTTCCAGATCTTAACTAGGCTAGCCTCTCTCGGAAGCCTAGTTTACTTCTCCTAGGAGCAAGGATTCTCCGTGTATGCTGTCTCATACGTTCACTCTAAGCGTGAACAAGAGATTTATTAACCAACGTGAGGAAAGAAGCACTGTGGGCGTATTGGTAATTCATCTTAGAGACTTCTTTATTAGTAGCGTTCCTAAAATTTTACCCTACACATGACCAAAAGTAAATAGTGGTAAGTCTAAACTGTTATATTGAAATTCATCTATGTTTTCTCTTGTTTTAGAGTTTAACAAGTTCCACACTTTTTATGCTTGTTTCAAAAGTTTTCAATCAGCAATAATTAATTATCAAGTGCACCCAAGTTCAAAATAAGAAAAATGAAAATAATTTCTATCAGTGACATTGTAAAGGACTGAAAGGTGCTGGACAAGTTCCTATCAGTGACATAGTAAGGGCCTGAAAAGTGCTGGACAAATTCCTGTCAGTGACATAGTAAGGGCCTGAAAGGTGCTGGACACGTTCCTATCGGTGACATAGTAAGGGCCTGAAAGGTTGCTGGACAAGTTCCTATCAGTGACATTGTAAAGGCCTGAAAAGTACTGGACAAATTCCTGTCAGTGACATAGTAAGGGCCTGAAAGGTGCTGGACACGTTCCTATCAGTGACATAGTAAGGGCCTGAAAGGTGCTGGACAAGTTCCTATCAGTGACATAGTAAGGGCCTGAAAGGTTCTGGACAAGTTCCTATCAGTGACATTGTAAAGGCCTGAAAAGTACTGGACAAATTCCTGTCAGTGACATTGTAAGGGCCTGAAAGGTGCTGGACACGTTCCTATCAGTGACATTTTAAGTGCCTGAAAGGTGCTGGACAAGTTCCTATCAGTGGCATTGTAAGGGACTGAAAGGTGCTGGACAAGTTCCTATCAGTGACATTGTAAAGGCCTGAAAAGTGCTGGACAAGATTTTTTTCATGTGGTCTTTCCCTTTACTCTGTAAACCTTTTCCCACAACAATCATTTCTGTTCTTTATCTCATCTCACATTTCCTCCGACACCTAATTATCTAATATCGAATTTACCGTTATATGATAATTTTCCAATTATTTGAGATTCTATAGTTCCAGTTCTTTCCCATTATTTGACGCTCCTCTTGCGGCAAACAAGGAAAAAGAATGAGAGTTGTAAATAAACATTGTTTTTGAAGTTCGTAACGTCGTTGGGGGTCATTCCTAAGCCTTAAAACAGCTTTGGCAAATTACCCGTTTTAAATTCCGAACGAAGGTAAATTAAGAGTAAAATATAATAATAACAATATTTGTTGAGCAGCTTCCAACTTATCTATTGAAAATCTCCATAAGTATACAGAACTGCAAGAAAGGTTATTATAAATGTTTCTCAAGTATTGTGATTCTATAAATAACGTTGTATCCCACGATTATTTGAATGATAAATAATATATTCTGTTTTTTTTTTGTGTGTGTGTAATTACGTTGTTCGTTTGCATTGACTACATTACTTTTAAAAATATGCTGTTATTATTTATCAATTTGCCAAAAGATGGCTTCAGGTTTTTGTTTCGAATGTTCAAGTAAAGTTACGTGAGGGCTATCTCACGTCCCAATCTTGAATTGATAGACTAGAAGAAAAGCAGCAAACCAACAACATCTCTTGTCAATTCTTGGGAACTCCATTCGAATAGTAGGATTTGACCACCACTCTTATAACGCACTCACGGTCTCAAATCGCTGAGTACGATTTTTCTACAACGGGACACAACTATAGACTCTCAAATTCACAGTCCGGCGCGCTAATTACTTAGCCACTCTCGGTTTACTCCAAAGAGAGGAGTTGAAAGTTTCTTCAATATATACATACATATATAGGATAAAGAAATATTTTGCGAACATGAGAACTTATTCTTGAAGAAACACTCAGTAAGCATTATTCTTCTGGACATATGTGTTGGTATGTGGACTGTGAATGTTATAAATACTTGGCCACAATTCCGCTGTTTGTGGGTTAACAGGTCATAGCTCTCTAGGGTTCAGGTATTGTCGTCCTTGATTGTGGAGTACTAACTAGAGGGAAGGTAGTCAGTCTGTAACACCCACGGCTCAAGGGCGTTGCGTGGCTATTGGAACCGAGAACCAGGTTTGGCTGTCACTCTTATAAACTCGGCCACGTCTGAAAATGAGAAGCATGCTCTGGAATCAAGTTTCAAACCCCAGACCTCTCGATCTGGAGCTCAATATCTTAATCATAGGAAGAAAGAAAAACAGCAGAAGAAGGCAGAGAAGTACGAAGAAGAAAACGTTGTCAAGCTTGGTTTTAATATGTTCATAAAAACCGAATAAATAATTACAAAAACATTATTATATGGTTCAATGATTAAAGCTTATATATACTGTGCATTAGAATCTTGTCTGCTTATACATATAACCAGGGGATCATAAGTAATGTCTTAAATTTAATATCATGACCAACCGTACAGTAGAAATGTTTTTGTAATCAGTTAAAATTGCAACGTTTCAGTCAGTAGAAGTGGACATCTTCAGGCAATGTACGAGTACGAATTCAAAGTTGTTAATCACTCTTTGTTTGAAGATGACCCACTAGTGTGAGTTGAAATGTCGCTGTTTTGATTTCTTAAAAATATTTCCACAGGAAAGCTGATCAGGATATTACATTTAATCACCAGTGGAGTTTTCATCTGGTAATAAACAGTGCCTCATCATCACAAGATGAAAACGTTATTTTTACTGTTATCATTCTCAGTTCTCATTGCACTGTTTCTTTTTATGAAGATATTTTCCCTTCTTACATAAAATGTGCACAGTTTTCGGTAGACCTATTTGACCCATGCACATCGGAGGCTTCAAGCATTTGCTCCAACCAACCCCACGCTTCATATTCTTTTTCCATCCATGCGTTCTTAGCATTTCGAGAGGAATTACGTTTTTTCGCGGTGCTAGTAAGTTGTTAGAAATAGATATACGTGTCTCGCTATAAATTTCACAAAATCTATCATGAAATATCTGTATGTAGACATAGGCTTAAAAGCTTTAAGATTCTGTTACCGAAAACAAGATCATCCTGAGAGGAAATGACGTCAGGAATGTATGAACTAATGGGAATGTTCTGTTATAATTCATGAACAGTTGATCCACAGTGTTAAAAGTGGAAATGTAAATACATATTTCATGTTCTAGGCAGTTTAATGACGATATAACGTGACTATTTCCTAATCTGAAATCTTCTCACTGATACAAGGAAGTATAATCAAAGAGGTATATCCTGATCAATATTTACGAATAATTGGACTTAAAATGAAACAAATTTAATTCGATGGTGGACACAAATGACAATACAATAGTTTCGTACCTTCATCGACTAAAAAACACTATCAGAGTTTTCCGAACATAGATTCTCGGCATGCTTTGGTTATTTGGAACCTCCTCTATTTAAAGAATAGTAATGCCAGGACTATTAAAGCTTTACGACCTGGAGCTGAAACAAAACAACAATTTAAAGAATTTGAAATGTGGTGTTATAGACGAATGATGACGATCAGCTACAGAGAAAGAAAAACTAATGAGGAAATATTGGAAGGTGCACAGGCAAAAAACGACTGGCGGATGTATATATATGCGCCACTGTGGACTTATAATTAGATCTGAGGGAAGATTGCCAGAGGTTTTTATGGGTAAAATCGAAGGAAGAGGGGCGAAAGGCAGGCAGAAACTCACTTGAATGTATGACATTAGAAAAAATTAGGAAAAATTGTGCATGTGATGAGGAATAAGGAACAATGGAAAACAATAGCCGTCGACCCTCAGAATTGGAGAGAATACCATGGTTGATTGGCTGAATATCCAACAAGGTGTAAGACCCTCAGTCTCCAATTCTGAGGGTCTTACACCTTGTTGGATATTCAGCCAATCAATCATGGTGTTCTCTCCAATTGAACACCATGGTTGATTGGCTGAATATCCAACAAGGTGTAAGAATATAAAACCTGCAAACTCGCATGTACAGTTCCAATTGTCGTCTAATTGTTTTCCAAATTATTTTCAGAGAAATTATTTCGTTATAGTTTTGCGATTAGTTTTAACCGCAATCTTGATTCCTGTGACCATCTTGACATTTTGCGCGATAGTTTTTGATACATACTTTTAAACCAATTTTTAATGAATTTATGTAAATTTTTATTCTTATTGTATAATATACCTTTTAAATATAAATGGATTACTTTTGCTAATATATATATATATATATATATATATATGTTAATATCAATCTTCCCATGTTAATTCCACCGTGGTTCTTTGACTATATATGTGTTTATTCCAATGTCTAATGGTTGTGTTAGAGTAAAATATATTATTAAGAATTTTAATACGTTTGCCATCTATTGAAGCATGCGTTATTATTTACTGTTTGGAATTTTCGCGAAAAGCTACACATGTGCAAAACTGTCCTTAATTTTGAACCTATGTGAAGATGTAGCTATTCAACTTTTACTTCCAACTATTAATATCTGATCGAACAGTAGGATTTGGATGCCACTTTTATTGTGAACCCACGACCCCAATGTTCGGAGAGCGTTTTTGCGGAAACAAATTTACAGTCCGAACGCGCTGACCACTAGGCTACGCAAAGCCCATATTAATTACTGTTCCTGTCCAGTAAATGGTATAGTTATTGATTCGACACAGTGCTACATGCGAATCACATAACAATACCTTAATGTTGAACGATGAGGATTCTTGGATTTGCCATAATGTTGAACAATTAGCTTACGTGTAGAGGTACATAAATAATAGTAATGAGATGTGCAAACTAATGTGGAATGCTGTATATAAACTTCAAGGATCAGTGGAACAGAATAGTCGCCTACGATCTGAACATACTCAAGGTCTCTTGAAGGTCAAAGAGCTGTAACGTGCAACAGAATAGTCGCCTACGATCTGAACATACTCTCTTTGACCTTCAAGAGACCTTGAGTATGCTCAGATCGTAGGCGACTATTCTGTTGCAGGTTACAGCTCTTTGACCCTCAAGAGACCTTGATGTAACCTGCAACAGAATAGTCGCCTACGATCTGAACATACTCAAGGTCTCTTGAAGGTCAAAGAGCTGTAACCTGCAACAGAATAGTCGTCTACGATCTGACCATACTCAACGTCTCTTGAAGGTTAAAGAGCTGTCACCTGCAACAGAATAGTCGCCTACAA